CATGCACATACCGTTAATATGAGACGTGTGGCTGGAAGACATGAAAATCCGGGCACTGATAGCAATATTGATTTATACCATGCATTCTCACACATCTTAGCTAGGGCTTAGCCTCTCTGGGATAGTTATGCTTGTGATTATATATACTTGGGTAAACTAACGCCTTTCTCCCTACAGTAATCATTTCGATGTTCTTATCAATGATGTTATAAGGTTCAATTGCACCAATGAGCTCAGCAATATTGTTCGTACAGATTCTGAACAAGCATACAATCAATGTGCATCTACAGGAACTTCTATTGGTACATAATGATTCCCATACTTTTAACATGTTTAAATGTGCATGCTGTATTTATAGGTCAATGTCAGGCAGGTGTCCCACAACTTTCCGCTTACATCCATTTTGGAGTATATCAAACTGGAAGGAGATATTACTTTTACAGCACTTATGGTAATAAAAACAGGCACACATACACAATAATTGTGCAATTCTTATTTAGGAAATGACTGTGCTGATGGAGTCAAATTATTTATTAATGTACTTGAAGCACGCCCTACAAGCTCAACAGTACAGCCTACCACTGCAGCTAGTAATACTATGAATCCAACTGGTACCAGTACCCCTGGAACAACAACTGGATCAACTGGTACCAGTACACCTGGAACAACAACTGGATCAACTACCTCCAGCACTTCTGGTATGTACATACATGTATACTCACTATTAGCAGTACTGTTGCTATTTATTATAGCACTAATCATGATTACTTTTACTACATATTGTACTAGGATTACTATTTTAGAGTACATGATTACTACCATTGTATAGTAATTCTGCCACTACTATTTATAGTAACAGTACTACCTACCAGTACTATAAGCTCTACTATCAGCATTCAAAGTAGTACTATGACTACAGCAAGCATTAGATCTACTAGCAGCATTCAAAGTAATACACCAATCAGTAGATCCACTGTCGTCATTGAAAGTAATACGAATACAGCTATTGATAGATCTACTAGCATTATTGGAAGTAAGAGTATAGTTATTATACCATCAATGCAAGTCTATTATAACCACAACATTACCTATATAAGTACTAAATGTAGTTTTTTTGAATTGACATGTTTTTTATGATTGTCCCCTATAGCTACAAGCTCTACACCAACTGTTGGTGGCTCTGATGAAAATGGAAGTTCATTTTTAAATAAACTTTCACTGGAAGTACTTCTGGCCATTATCACTGTTATCGCTGTGATTATCATCTCAGTACTCTTGTTCATTATTATAATAGTATCAATAGTCTGCTTTAGAAAACGAAGAAAGAGCAGTCCACTAGGTTAGCTGTATGTTGTTGTTTATATTGAAATCAAGCCAAGGGAAGGTAGCATTCTTGGCAATGTGGTAACATCATGATACCAATCACTGGTGGATCCAGAAAAATTAAAAGAAGGGTTCCATTTGAACATTTCACTTAAGTGGGTGTGGCTCATTAAATTTAATTAAAATTTGGGTGTGGCTCATCAATTTTAATTAATAAAATGGAGGAAAAGTGCTGCAAAGAAACTGCAAAAAGACAACTTCTGCCAAAGGGGGGGGGTTCCATGGAACCTATGGAACCTCCCTAGATCCGTCAATGCCAATGTAACTGTTTTCTCTTTCTTTCTTCTTTTATCTCTTTTTCAGAAAAACTACATAATGAAGAAGAAGAAAAAGGTACATACAAAAAGACTGAGTCAGCTGTTGGAGAAAAGAATGGAGTAGGAAAATCAGAAGAAAAAACAAAGGAAAAAAGAGAACTAAAGAAGGATGAAGAAATAGATGGAAAAACAGCTGAAGATAAAGTTGAAATAAAGAAAGCAGATAATGGTAATGCTGTTGTTTCATACAAACGCAATGAGGAAGAGAAGCCTTCACCACGTACTAATATTCATCACCCACCTTCACCACCACCAAGCAACAGTTCCAATGCTACTAAGACTAATGGTAGCCCCAAGACTGTTAGTAGCAACAGTCACAGTGTCCCTAAGACTGCTAGCAGCAACAGTCACAGTACTCCTAAAACTACTATTAACAATAGTGTCCCCAAGACTGTTAGCAGCAACAGTCACAGTGTTCCTAAAACTGCTAGCAGCAACAGTCACAGTGCTCCTAAAACTACTATTAACAATAGTGTCCCCAAGACTGCTAGCAGCAACAGTCACAGTGTCCCTAAGACTGCTAGCAGCAACAGTCACAGTGCTCCTAAAACTACTATTAACAACAGTGTTCCCAAGACTGTTAGCAGCAACAGTCACAGTGTTCCTAAAACTGCTAGTAGCAACAGCGCTACCAAGACCGTTAGTCACAGTGTTCCTAAAACTGCTAGTAGCAACAGTGCTACCAAGACTGTCAGTGTTCCTAAAACTGCTAGTAGCAACAGTGCTACCAAGACTGTTAGTCACAGTGTTCCTAAAACTGCTAGTAGCAACAGCGCTACCAAGACTGTTAGTGGCAGTGTTCCTAAAACCGCTAGTAGCAACAGCGCTACCAAGACTGTTAGTGGCAGTGTTCCTAAAACTGCTAGTAGCAGGACTAATGTTCCAAAGACTGCTAGCATTACTCCTATAAGAAACAATGCTCCAAGTACCACCACTGATCCTAAGAGTTTACCAGCTTCAATGAGCAATAAGCAAGTGTCATCAGGACCTTCTCGCATCAATAACCAGGTTGGTCCACAATCTCTTCCAGCTGCAAGGAGACCTGCTCCTACAGCTCCTACATCAAATTCCGTTCCAGCTGGTCACAAAAGACCAGCTCCTTCTCCCCCATCTGCACAAAAATAATGTACTTAATATCGTTTTTTAAAATTTTAGCTGTTTATCACATGTTATTAGCTATCTCTATTAGCCAAATTAAAAATTAATACAAAAATGAGTAAATGTTCTATTTTTACTATACTAGTGCTTTTTGGCATGACGGCTTTAGCTTTAGCATTAGTTGGCTAGTGTACCCAAGTACACAGTTGTTTATTTGATGGAGGAATGGGGAGACAGTCGTTGAGTTTATCACAGCCAGGTGGAGCCCAATTCTACAAAATGAATGATACTGATTTTGCAGTTGATAATTCCAAACTAACCATAACTGCTTTATCACAATAGTTCAACTGTGGATTACCAGCAATCATAGTCTTATGGTGATCATCAACTATTGGCGTTATGACATCCATTGCATTTTTATATTCAGCACTATTGTGTCTGTGAACAGAGAAGGAAGATCAGAATATCATATCTTAAAGTTATACTTGATTGGATATTTCTCTCCAGGGTCTCTTCCAAGGTGAAACAGAACCGGTTGAGCAGTGTTGTTTACTTGATCATGTGTAGTGACATTATTAATAACTTCACCAGGACAAAAATCAGTTCCCTTTAACAAAAAGAAATGCATCATAATTATAGCTATAGTGCTGTTAATCCCAGATTAGCAATTTTTTAAAGTCAGATAATTACCAATCAACTTCAAATTAGAAGTATTAGGGCATCCATGTATGAGAGAATATATAAAAATTTTTCATGTTTTTGGAGAATTAAAAAAAAGCATGGGCTATAATTAGCAACGCGGTAGTGTTACTAAGTAGGATTCACCCCACTTCAAAATAAGTACAGGGAGTTTTTTTCAATTTTAAAAATTGAATTTGGAATCCGCTCAAACTTTCTACATAGCATAAGGACATTGATGTGTATCAAAAAATGTAATAAAATTGTTAACGTTTTCAGAGCCATTTTTTGGAAAAACCATGACAATGAAAGGGAACAAAGCCCTCAAAAATTTTTTTGTAAAAGAATAGAATAAAATATGTAGGGTAAGGAAAAATTTCAAAAGCAACGTAAAAATAGGGTAAGGTAAAGTTAGAGACATAAAACAAAAAATGATAAGAAAAAATAAAATAAAGCTAAAAATTAAATATTATGTGGGCATCAGAGGCCACAATGTCAAAATCAAAGTGGTTTTTCAGAAATTGGCCCATTTTAAAAATAGTCATAACTCAAAAAATTAAAGTCGGACTCCACTCAAGCTTTCTACATAGCATAAGGACATCAATATGCATAAAAAATGTAATAAAAAATTTTCACATTTTCAGAGCCATTTTTTGGAAAAAACCATGGGCTACATGTATATATAGTACAGGGATTTTTCGGAAATTGGTCCATTTAAAAAAATAGTCATAACTCAAAAAATTTAAGTTGGAATCCGCTCAAACTTCTTTACATAGCATAAGTACATCAATATGTATCAAAAATGTAATAAAAATTGGGGGTGATTTTTGAGCCATTTTTGGAAAAAACCATGGGCTATATATATTACAGGGGTTTTTTAGAAATCGGCCCATTTTTAGAATAGTCATAACTCGAAAAATTTAAGTCGGAATCCGCTCAAACTTTCTACATAGCATAAGTACAACAATATGTATCAAAAAATGTAATAAAAATTGGGGGTGATTTCGGAGCCATTTTTCGAAAAAAACCATGGGCTATAGTACAGGGATTTTTCTCAAAAATTGGCCCATTTAAAAAATGGTCATAACTCGAAAAATTTAAGTCGGAATCTGCTCAAACTTTCTACATAGCATAAGTACATCAATATGTATCAAAAAATGTAATAAAAATTGGGGGTGATTTCGGAGTCGTTTTTCAGAAAAAACCATGGGCTATAGTACAGGGATTTTTCTCAAAAATTGGCCCATTTAAAAAATGGTCATAACTCGAAAAATTTAAGTCGAAATCCGCTCAAACTTTCTACATAGCATAAATACATCAATATGTATCAAAAAATGTAATAAAAATTGGGGGTGATTTCGGAGCCATTTTTTGGAAAAAACCATAGGCAGAGAAACTATAGACAGAATTCTTTCAGAAATTGGCCCATTTAAAAAATAGTTATAACTTTAAAAAATTTAAGACAGAATCCACTCAAGCTTTCTACATAGCATTTTGGAACCATTTTTCAGAAAAAACCATGGGCTATTATAATAGTACAGAAATTTTTTCAGAAATTGGCAAATTTTAGAAATCACCCAAAACTTGAAAAATTGAAGTCGGAATCAGGTCAAACTTCCTACATAGCACACAAAGTATGAGAGAATGCAATAAAAATTGGCGGTGATTTGGAGCCAATTTTGGAAAAGGTACCGTATAGCCACAAAGTTTCGAGGCAATAAACTTTCGCGAATCAGGCCACAAGTCTTTTTTCGCGAATTAACTTTCGCGGTTCTTGTTTTTAAGCACACGTGTTTATGGGCAATACAGATATTTCACAGAATTAACTTTCGCGAATACGGAAAATCCGCAAAAACAGCAAAAGTTGTACCCTCGAAATTAAGCGGCTATACGGTATTACTTAAAATCATACAAAAATTATGGTTACTTCATTAAATTCCTCAAGTGAATTGGTCCATGTCCAGTAATGTGCCTTGTACAGTCCATTTCTAACTGCCATCATCTCATTGCCACGATAATAAAAGATGGTTCTGTTAGTTTCCTGGCCTTTCTTAAAGAGTGGAGCTAAGCTGATGCCATCTATTATTCTATCAGAAGGCTCACTAATCCCTGCTAGATCTAATGCTGTACTGTACCAGTCCATTAGACTACCTAACTGATGACTGACCTATAGCAGGACAAAGAGCGAGTCATTCTATTAAATAATGATACTACCTGTCCTGGTTGAATGGTACCCGGCCACCATGCTATTGTAGGCTCTCTCATTCCTCCTTCGAATGTCGTTTCTTTACCACAAAGAAAAGGACTATTACTACCGCCTAAAACATTATCAAATATAATAATTATAACATTTTTTGTAGCAATGCTTGCCTCACCGCTTTCTTTAGCATACGTAGCTCCTCCATTATCAGACGAGAATATAACCAAAGTGTCTTTGTCAATTCCAAGCGTCTTTAGTGTATCCAGTATCTGACCAACACTGTAATCAAGCTCTTTGACAGCATCACCATAGCTAAAAAGTAAGAGAAATGATGTCATACTATTCAATAGACTATACTTACAGTCCCCTTTGACTTGTTCCAAGGAAGTCTTTAGAAGCAAACAGAGGAGTGTGGGTTGCATCTGGGGTCCAGTAAAGAAAGAATGGTTTCTTATTTGCAGCATTCTTATTGATGAACTTGATAGCTTCCTGTGTGTACTCAACTGTGAGGTTTGACTCTCCAGTCTTATGATTAATGGGGAAATCCTGATAGTACCTACCGGGAATACCAATGATGTTATAGTGACATGCTTTCATGTATGATGCATACCTTCCTGCCATGGTTGCATTCCTATATACAGGCATGTTGGGTTGCTCCTTACCATCGAATGGCCCAAAGTGACAGTTTGTTGAGCCAAAGAATTCATCAAAGCCGTGCTTGAGTGGGTGATAATGTGTCTGCTGACCCAAATGCCTATCGACAGAGAACAACAAGTAGACGTGTATGTGGTTATGCTGTAAAATCACCATTTCCCAATGATCATTGTAGCATATCCATTCTTTTGGAGTAGCTCTGGGTAAAGTATTTCAGAGTCAGGTATGCCACCGACAATGTCTTGAGGAGTGTATGCTTCAATGCAGAGAGAGAGAGAGATGTATAAATACACATGCATGCATTCTGAGGCCCATACCATTACGTGCATGAGCATTTGTTGTATAAAAGCCATTTCTTATTGGGAGTCGACCTGTCAGCATTGCCGCCCGAGCTAGTGGAACATTAAACAAACAAGTTGTTAATAATATCATATTAGTCTCACGAACATGGTGAGCATAATGGGTTAGCAGAATAGAAGTCTGGCAACAGCATTCCTTCTAAAGCCATCTTGTCTAGGTTAGGCGTTTCTTTGACCGGATGTCCATAAACGCCCAAATCTCCCCAACCCATCTACAAAGAGAGAGGCATGAGCTACTATCGTGCAATCTGTTATCTCTTTGCTTACACCTTGTAAATTTTTGTTTACTAAAATATTAATTGCATCTGTCAACTTTCTCTCCACACACTTCTCTTACATCATCCATTAACATGAAGATCATGTTTGGTGTGGTGGGTGAGAACTGGTGAGAGACAGAGTGAGCCTCAGCTGCTTGAAAGGTGAGGAGGCTAAAGAGAAAGAGTAGGAAGGAGATACGAGCCATCTTTGCACAAAAGGTCACACGTGCTGAGTAAATGCTATGAATATAGATCTAGATGCCATTTTAATAGCTTTTTTAAAGCAAATTGGGAGGAGCTGGAAGAAGTGTAAAGAATAAAGATTCAGTTAGTCAGCAGGAGAATGCTGGCGACAGCCTGTCACAACAGATTAGCGTAGGGGAAATGATTATCTATGTTCCTACTAAACCGACAGATTATAGACGGCATGTTATCTACGCAAGCCATAGGACAGCTCCAGTACTTTGTCGTATATAAAATCATATCTACTAGACTAGTAAGACTACTACTCTACAAAATAGAGAGGCGACTCCTTGGCTACTCCCTACAAATCCTGTCCGGATCCGTTATCAACAGCTAATGCCAAGGATTAGACCAGAGATGAGATTGGTGCTAGCCTTCACTTTGATGTCCCTCCTCTTAGGAGAAGGTGGGTGAGGAAGACAATGTTATTTAGTCTCTAATGACATTCCCTCCTTATCTCTAGGTGCTTGGGCCTTGACTTGTCATTGCCACGGTGAGGGGTCTGCTTGTATTTCAGAGAACAACTGCACAGGAGCCACACTTTGCTATTTGAGAGTCATTTATCAACAAGATCGTGATTCATATGTGGATTATGGGTGCATTGATGATTTTGGCGGACTGATCAATCCATCTTTAATATGTAACAGGACCATGAGTCATGGCAGAGACGAAACCCATTTCCTATGTTGTGGTGATTACGATTTCTGTAATAAAGATCTCTCAATTCCTCCAAGAGAATCAGGTCCCTCATCTTCCAGTAGTCCAGTCACACCAACACCCACACACTCACCAACACCAGAGAAGCAGGAGAACAAGATCTCCTTATGGTTGCTACTAATAGTAACAATAATACCAACTATCTTCATCCTTAACCTCATCCTCTGCATTCTACTGGGCATACATCTGAGGCAATATCACAGAATACGCACACGAGAGCAAAGACAATCAGAGGTTAGATCTACAGGATCAGATCAAATCCAATTTGTAAATTCTACCACTTGTACATAACACGCTAAGCAGAAACTTCAAACATTTCACAATTCTACAATTTATTATGATCCAACTCAACTAAACTTGTCATATTATCAGTGTGATTATCATTTATCAATTTATTGAAATGTAAAAAAATATTCAAAGTTGAAATTACTAAGAGCTATCAAATGACATAAAGACACACAAACACTGTGTGAGAGGAATGTGACTTGTTATATTAGAATATCTAAATTAGGGCGAAGTCAAATATCCTTTCTTCAGAATAATGACAAAACTTATGTTAGCAATTAAACAAAAATTTGAAAAATGTTCCATAATAATAATAATAATATAAAGAGGAGATGGGGAATGAATTCAAAAGGACAAGGAAAGACAAGAGAGGAAGAAATAAACAAGTGAGTTTATTGTTTATTAAGAATGATAAATAATATCAACACAACATAATAATAATAATGTAAACGGTAAGCCAGCCTGTACGTAACATGGTGAAAATGAAGATAATATCAAGAGAAAAGAAAAAAACAAACTTACCCAGTGGAAAATAGTAACAATAAAGATATTTACCCTACACGTCATTCATAATAACAATAATAATAATAGTTAATAATAATAATAATAATGGTAGTTTATAATACACCCACACACATACACAAGGACACAAACTAAACATAATCAAAACAATAAACTTGTGCATCATTTAAGAAATTCAAACCAGAAACAATTCTAATCAATGCTCACCGACGCGGGGGCGGCTTGCTAGCAGCTACCGTTCCGCGAGAGTATTTGTTTCCGCCAGAAAACATGCCCCCAGACCCAGCAGGGAACTTCCTGCCGGAACTAAACCCTCCGCTACCACTCCCTCCCATCGTCTTCTGAAATGAGGACGGCCTCTTTTCCTCGATATTGAGTTTACGATCGTGAAGCATGAGAGTCGTCTCGGCCCGACTGGCAATTATAGTCTGAACTGGCTCTTCGCTGTCAAAAACGATAAACCCGAAATTTTTGGGATTAATGCGGACTTCAATGACGTTCCCGTATTTCTTGAAGATTTCCTTCAGCTCGTCTTCTTTAGTCCCATTAGGTAGGTTCCCAACAAAAACCTGATGAGAATCCGGAGCAGAGCGAGTGAGGGGGACACTCGAAGGAGCAGAGGATAATGTAGGCGTGGTCAAAGGAGGCTTCTTGTCCAGTGGCTTAGAAGAGTCTTGCTGCTTGATCCTGGACTGCTTGGGCTCTCTCTGGGGAAGTGGCTGTGTTGAATTCACCTGGAGTGGGAAGGAAAGTAAGGATGATAGTCTCTCTGTGTGCTACTCCTAACCATGTTATTTGGTCCTCTTGATTGGAGTCCAAATGAAGGTTGCTTGTTAGCTGAAGAAGGCAAGGGATTAGAACTTGATTGAGTTTTACCAGCACTGCCGGCTGCCTAAAGGAAAGAGAGTAAGTGAACATGAACCATAACAACATGTAAGAAGTCATAAACATAACAACATGATAAGAACCTATATAAACAACTACAGACTGTCAGCTATAGTACACACTAGAACACCTAGAGGGGGAGTGAGAGAAGGGGAAACTTCAAGAGATATACAATTACACACAGGTCAGGCATAGCTACATTCCTTTAAGTGAACACCAACAAACACACTAACTGCTAACACGCAATATAATAATACTCCACCCAATAATTAATGGAGAGAGAGAGAGAGAGAGGAGGGATTAAAGTGAAAGTGAAATGGATTACCTTTAGTTTTGATGCCCAAGAAGTATCCTTTGGCTTATTTTGATCGTCATTGACAATTTCATCAGTTTCACTTGTAGCGTTAGTGAAACTGCTACCACCAGCGGGAGGGACTGAAGTAGTAACAGGACCTTCATCAGTTTCATCAGGAACACTGTTAACAATTGTACCTGCTGCCCAAAAGAAAAAAAGGAAATTTTATGAGCAGTCAATTATTAATAATTAATGTATCAGAGGTGTGGCCATACATAACTGGAATAACTTTAATGAAATGGAAGTATTCTAGTGTATTTTTTTAATGTACACAAATTTGTGATTTTTGAGGATTCAAAAAAAATTTGTAAAAATCCATTTATTTTACACCACACAATAGAATCAAAAAAGTAAAAATATAGTAAAAGTAAAAAAATATAGCAAAACTAAAAAATTACTCACCATAATGATACTGTATAGTGGGAAATTTTCGTGGCAAAAAATTTTCGTGGATCCATCTAAAAATCAATTTCGTGGTTTTCTACTTTTCAGCCATTTTGAACCGTATTAAATCGATTTTCGCGAATTTAATTTTCGTCAATTTTGAAAAACGCAAAATCCACAAAAATTTCCCGTTATACGGTAATTATTAAAAAATTATTAAAAATAACATACCTTCATAGCGGTCACTCCAGCTATTAGTGGTAGGCAGTACTTCAGTGGTTACAGGCGGGGCAGGGGAGCCTTTGACGGACGGTTCCGACACTACATCATCACCTCCTTCATCTGTATGGGTATGGTCAGTAGGGGGGACAAGCTCGGCAGAATTACCCTCAACGACCGGCTCCGTTTCAATCTGAACCTCATTTGTGTCGTCAGTCTCACTGACAAAATCCTCGTCGTAGATCTGATAGCGAAATATATCATTGTGAATATAATACTTCTTAGGGGACTCAAGGCCTAGGACAAAGGTCTGGACGAATGGACGCATAGGATGGCCAGCAATTGAGAGTTCTCCGGTAACTTGTATCAAAATGGCGTGGTCTTTTTCAGTAGACAGGACTGTTGAATTGCTGTCCACTTGACGTATCCTAGTGTGGACCTTTTGCAGGCCTAGGGATTGTATCTTCTCATGTATAGCCTTAAGAGAGAGGGGGGGAGAGAGAGAGGGGGAGAGAGAGAGGGGGAGAGAGAGAGGGGGAGAGAGAGAGGGGGAGAGAGAGAGGGGGAGAGAGAGAGGGGGAGAGAAAGAGAGAGGGAGAGAAAGAGAGAGAGAGGGTGAGAGAGAGAGAGAGAGGGAGGGAGGAGAGAGGGGGAGAAAGAGAGAGGGAGAGAAAGAGAGAGGGAGAGAAAGAAAGAGAGAGGGTGAGAGAGAAAGAGAGAGGGAGAGAGAGGGTGAGAGAGAAAGAGAGAGGGAGAGAGAGAAAGAGAGAGGATAGTAAATATCAGAGAGTTTGGCAAGTACACAAATATAAATTGGCTACCATTATGTTCGACTGCCAAATTCAAAACACAAAATCAGCCCAAACCATAAAAAAACTTTAGCAACCCAACGCCACACATACATGTACATATAATTATATATATAAACTGCATAAAAACTCACTTGCTGTCCCACCACAGGAGTAACCGTACCCATTTCTGGGCCCCCGCGAGTAAAGATAGAGTTAGCAAGGTAAAATCGATGCATCTGGCTGGGGTCTTTGTGCATCTGGGTGTAATACTGCATGACAAACAGTTCCCCTATCTTCTGTGGATCAGGGTTGTCTTCCTCCATCTTTACTCTGAGTCACCGTCTCCTTCTCTCTTGAGACAGTATCCTTTAAAAGGGACGCTCGGAGAGGGTAGGGTCAATATGGCGGCAAGTTGTGTCAAAGCAAGCCTGCTCTCTTCCTCTCACAGATGTAACGCCATTTTGCCATCCATGTGGTTCTAACGATTCCCTAATTCCCTTCCTCTCACCTTCTGCGCATGCGCAGACAATCCCACTTGTTAATATTCCCCGCCCAATCAGACGCGAAAATCGCGAAACCACACCTTCGTTTTTACAAAATTTAATTTTTATTTTTTTGTGAATGATTGCGAAAGGTCATGAAAAAATTAATGAATGGTGAGTAAAAAATGATGCAAAAGTTAAAAAATTGTGTCTCAGGTGAGATCCAGCACGGAAATTTATTCAAACAAGTTGTCGTCATTATTATGCTGCAGGCTACAAAAATTCCATCTTAATTTCGCACATCTCAGCAATCTTGTCCACTTTCTTTCTTATATAATAGGCAGAGGGTCTTGCTGTCGGCTGATGATACCAGCACTCGTACATTACCCTTGACATGCCTCGAAGCAGCTAAAAAATAAATAATATAATAATAATTTAAAATAATTTTAACAGTTAGCAATAGACGGTGTGTCTATGACAAAAAGTCTGAATCATGTAGACACTGTTATGTGTTTTATTATTACTACAGATCAAGTCATCAGAGAGTTATGCAAACTTGCAAAGCATTCCACTATACTAAGACAGGCTGGAGTCATGTTGTCCAGCTTTAACTGACTCCTCTTTTATTCCTTTGAGTAAAAGCAAAAAAGACAATTATGGCTAAGAAACAAACCCATTCATTTCCTAATCATTATTAATGATATGTAATCATACAGTAATCATGCAAATAACTGCTTGGGAAAATCTCCCTCACAAACTGTCTAATGGCGTAATTTTTAAAATGCTCATAAAAACTCAAAACTTTCTGCACAGCATAAGGACATCCATTAATGCGTATCAGAAAATGTAATAAAAATTGTAGGTATTTTCGGGGCAAATTTTTGAAAGCTACAGTCCATGCTTTTTCTAAAAAAATCAATGATTGATTTTAGTTGAAATCAACTCAAGAGTCTTTCTACATAATAAAGTAATGTAACTAGACGATGGATACATCCTGTACCTCGTTATTGCTCCAGGTCTCAGGTATTTCAGGAATAACTTCTTTTCCAACGATAAACTCTGTCATATCATCAAGTGTTGGATCGGGAGGCACTTGGGACTGAAATGGAAGAGCATAATCAGCCAAAGGCTCACCTAAGAAAGAACAACAACAACAATACAGTGAAAATAAATTACACAATAATTATAGCTATTCAGTCTTAAACAAAAAGTATCATAGTAAAAGTAAAATTGACATACTATGTGCCAAGTCCCAACTATACACAGTTTTATTAAAACAAAAGAAAATGACTTAATTATCAAGAGTTATTATCACTATCATTATTATTGTTATATTACTATTATTATTATTATTATTATTATTATTATTATTATTGTTATTATAACAAAATCAGACACAATGCAGAAGACAAAAGAGAGACAAAAAGGGAAAGCCCATAGAGAAAAGAAAATCAGGGACAAAACAAAAAACAGGAAAAGAAAAACCAAAAACAAAACACAACAAAATAAAAATATTATTATTATTATTACCTTCAAGGTGACAGCGTGTGCATACTTCCCACATTACTAGACCAAAGGAGTAAATATCAGCTCTCAGAAAAGACTCAAAACTATGAACATCAATGGTTCCCTTGATGACCTCAGGAGGCATGTATCTCTTAGTCCCCTGCTGGACATTCTCTAACTTATTATTAAAGTTAAGATAATTATTATCCTTCACTACAGCTAGTCCAAAATCGGCAATACAACAAGTCGAGTCATTCTTTACTAGAATATTCTTTGATTTGATATCTCTGTGAGCCACTGACGGCTTTCCCTGAGTCCCAGTAATTTCCAAGTGGAGATAGGCCAGACCGCGACAGGTTGAATGGATGAACTTGAGTGTCGTCTCTGGAGTCAGTCCTCCTCTATTGAGTTCTTCGAATAGAGACCCACGAGGATGATACTGGGTGATGAGCCACAACTCCGTCACTCCGTTATTAGACAGCATATCGGTCGCAAAGCAAGTCAATATATTATCATGGCGGAGATTAACCGAGTTATATATATCAGACTCATGGAACCAGGACTGCTCGTCTTTCGAGAAGAACTTTTTAACGGCATACCTCTCACCTTGATAGTGCCCAACGTAGACTTGTCCAAAGCGTCCGCCTCCGATTGACTCTCCAAGCAAAATACTCCTAGCGATGGTCCTCTTAACAAGGAATGGCATCCCAGCCCCCGAGCCAGAGGTGAAGCTCATAGAGGTCTCGTTTGATACGCTTACATGTACATGTTCGATAGAGGTGGAGCTATAGGGAGGAGGTTGGAGGAACGAGGTTAGGTCATTACCGTTCCCGTTTGAGTGATGAGGCTCGGTAAGGTGGACATCCGGGTCATTGGTACGCTGTCTGGGGAGTCGCCTGTCTCTCTTTCTCTTGCAGAATATGAAAAGGGCAAAGAAAAGGATGTTGAGTGGTATGAGGATGATGCAAGAGGAGATGATGGTGACCAGGATTATGATGTAGAGAGAGGGATCATTCGAGGAGACTGTAGGAGTTGCTGATACTGATTCTAAAAAAAAAGAATAATAAAAACAGCTGTGATTTATTTTCAGTAAGTACTCATAGTACATGTACATGCAATACTAAGGCTTCCTCCTAAGAGGATATGCTGTTTCACACTTTATTTAAATTATAGCATTTCCTTAAGATGATCTACAATAAACATTATTTAACAGACACACACATCTGGAGTGAGTCCCTCTTCTCCCTCTAATCCAAACACGGCCACATTGCATTATGTATCTAACAGGAGGTAGTGGGTGCACGTATGTGTGTGCTGGGGGCAATGATATGTCTACATCTACCATCCAGTGTGTATGTACTGTATATGTGTGTATATTATGATGTATGTGTATGTGTGTGTGTGTCCATTATTGTGACTAGTAAATCAATTAGCTTGTCTCAATTATGGGACATAAAGATAATACATTTTTACTCAATGGCAGGCTGTGCACTAAATAATGCTAATAATTATACATTAAAAACAATAAAAAGAACAAGAGCAAAAACAACAACAACAACAACAACAATAATAATTACTCTCATGTCTATTACTTACCAGTGACATTAATAGTTGGAGAGGCTGTAGATGGATCTGGATTTAAATCAATGCTATGCATGATATCTTGATTACAATAATCATAGTCATCACAGCAAAAGAAATGCATCACATCATTGCCATCATCTTTAGTTGTATTGCACAGAGCCGCAGGATTGATATTGATAACTCCTACTGAGTCTATGCAGCCATAGTCAACTGAAGGTTTTCTAGGTTTTCCTGAAGAAAAAACGACAATTCTTAAATAGCATCCAAACTGATCATTAAGGGTACAGCTATTAGTGCCCATACAATCAGCACCTTCCCCAGAACAGTAACATGTGATGCTGTATACAGTGCCTTGATTTAAAAGACAAAGACAAGTAAGAGTATTAGTAGCGGTTATTGAGGACCTCACTTTTCTGTAGATAAATTAGAAAAAAGAAGGAAAACGTGGAAAGAAAGAAGGGAGACACTCGCAAAGACACCATTCCTGCTTCATGGATATCGACCAGTAGTCTAGGGCGTGGCTTTATTGCAGTGAATTGACGTATCCGGAGGCACACGGAAATCACGTGGCGTCAATTTTAATTATTATGGGCGTGTCCAATTAAGGAAGCGTGTAATTTGTGGGCAGTACCTTATCCGGATTCTCTATTCTCTTATTTCATTTCTTCGCTCCTTTCTCTGTAACACTAGCCGGTAGTATATATATTTCTGTACATATCAGGCCCGGACCTCTTTCTTTACTTGCCTGACGATCCTCTCTTTGCTGTCTTTTCTTTTCTCGGTATCCGCTTGCTGGGCTCCGCGCTGTATTTAGTCAGAGGCTGTGAGGTCCCGTTTATTTCTTGTTGGCTATCGGGCTATCTCTTCATGATGTCGCTTGTTTACAGGCTGTTCACTGGGCTAGCTTTACTCTTTATTTTGTTGAGACCAGCTCACGGTAAGTTTGCATGTACTGCACATCAATACATGCAACATCAGTTCATTTACATGTACATGTATGTATATCGATTTATAAACGTACATCTATGTATTGTTTTCTTTCTTTCTTTTCTCAAAATTTAGCTATACAGTGTCATACTAATGACGGTGGTACATGTTCTGGTTTACGGTGCCAAATTTTCCTTCAATCGGGTCAGGTTTTTCAGACATGCAAATCCAACTTCCCTTTATGTCCTGGTCCAGTAAACATACTCTTCACTAATGAAGGCAGTTTTAGACCTTACATTTACTGCTGTGATACTGATTATTGTAATAGTAACACTACATTTAATTCGCTCATCTCCCCCTCTCCCTCTCCTACTGTAACCGTCAGCACTGGATCTATAGTGATTGTCGTTTCTTCTAGCATCATCGCAGGACCACAATCCAGTCTGTCTTCCTCTTTGTCTTCTACCTCTTCAATCTCCTCTACTTCTTCCTTGTCAACTGGGACAGTCCTTCCCTCTGTAACCAGCTCGCCTAACTTAGAGAATACTATTAGTGGCAGTCACATCGTCGCCACTCCATCATCAAGCAACGGTTAGTTGTACTTTTAATTGATAGTAATAAATATTCTTCTTTCTTCTCTCTTTCTTTTCTCCCTCCTCTCATAGGTGTCATGGAATCCAGCACTGTCAGTTCCTCATCGTCGTTACCTTCCTATATCATAGTTGTTATAACGGTACTCAGTGTAGCCATTTTCTTGTTCATACTAGCCCTTCTCACCATCGTCTTTGTCTACTTTAACCCTCGTCACATCGTTGGAGTAGCCGTACCAACGGAGAGTGAAGGGACTCCTACGATATCTACTGGATCGTGCGACTTCTCGTCCAATCAGGAGTTATTTGACGGGACTACATCAGGCAGTGGTGCTGGTCTTCCTCTACTAGTCCAGCGTTCTATAGCGGCTCAAGTCACCACCTGCCAGTTGATTGGAAAGGGTCGTTTTGGAGAGGTCTGGCTTGGGTCGTACAAAGGCGACTCGGTCGCTGTGAAGATATTCCACACGAAAGAAGAAGACTCTTGGAAGCACGAGGTTGAGGTTTATCAGACTTGTCTTATCCGTCATCCGAATATACTCCGTTTTATTGCAGCTGACAATAAGGACATTGGCATAGCCACTCAGCTCTGGCTTATAACAGAGTATTGTGAGATGGGGTCTCTGTATGAAGTCCTAGTGAACGAGGAGCTTCATGAGACTACGGTCCTTAAACTTTGTCTTACGGCCGTGAGTGGCCTAGCCCATCTACATGCTGAGATTACAGGGATTGAGGGGAAGCCTGCTATAGCACATCGGGATTTAAAATCCCGCAATATCCTAGTAAAGAGAGACTACACCTGCTGTATTGCTGATCTTGGTCTTGCCCTAAGATATGACAAAGTTACCGATACTGTAGAAGAGCCTCCTACCAAGAGGGTTGGAACGAGGCGCTATCTCTCGCCTGAGATTCTCGACGATAGCATGAACGTGAAGAATTTCGATTTCTTTAAGCGCTCGGACATGTATTCGTTCGGCCTTGTCCTCTGGGAAATAGCTAGAAGAGGATTGTGTGGAGGTAAGAAAGAAAAATATTTATCTCTTTTCTTGTGCATGCACATTACTCCCCTTGTCATGTGAAAAGCATGTGTAGGTTTCTGGTCTGTAAAACCAGTCTCCCCCTTACAATGGTATACTGTCCTGGGCCCATTGTACTGATTCAGGTACTTAGTCTTAACTTTGCTGTGGCCTACAGCATTTATAATGCTATTACTTTGATCCCTTCCCTGTGTAAACTACACTGATGAGTTGTGATGTACATATGCATGTATGAAGAAAAAAGCATGTACATATATGTCACATGAGGGGGTTTTTGCACTAGTGAGTGGATGTGTATATATATATACATGTATGTACGTATCATAGTGTTTACATGTCTGTAGGTAGCATTATTTGATGTGTATATGTTGTTGGTGTGTCTGTTGTTATTATTATTTGGCAATGGATGCATTTTCCACGTCCTCCCTCCCTCTCTCTTTTCCTTTTCCTCATTTTACGATGCCCTGTTTTCTCTATTGTTCCTATCACATTGTCTTGTTTTTCTGTGTACATTAATCTCTGACCTCAATTTGGCAGCTGGCAAGCATTGTGTGAAGACCCATTCCTGTAGTATATTATTTTATTGTGTATATATTGGTAGTAATTAGAGTAGAGCTAGCTGAATTTAATTTTAGTGCCAGAAAATGTAATTATTAGGAGCAGAGCATCACATCATCGTTATATAGTGTGAAATAATTTTAATAGAGAATGATAAAACTAGGAGAGAGACAGAGAGAGACAGAATGGTGATGGGGACTGATAAGCTAATTGGTTATACTCATATCTCTACACCTGTTCCTGGCTGTTATTCAAAATGCTAATAATGCTTGACCTAGTATGGTATTATTTTATGCCCTTTGGAATGCAGTGGGCTTGCTTGTAGAGATGAGAGATAAATTAGAGATGGTAGATGAGTAACAAATTGCCAATACGTTAAATAATTGGAATACTTGGCTTATTGGTAGAATGTGACCTTATGCCCTCAGGCTTGTACATTTTGAGTAGTGGTGATATTTACAGGAAGTAATGTCATGAAGTGTGAGGGAGAGAGAGAGAGAGAAAAAATCAGGGAGAAAAGGAGGGTGAGAGTAAACAAGAGCACTTGTGTCTAAATTCAGCACTTGCAGTTTATGTACTTTCTCTGTTCTCAAACAATTCTTTTAATCCTTGACTACAAGAGTGTATTACAATAAATTATGATTCATAATGGAGCCACACATTACATACACAACTCATTTCATATTGACAGCTAAGCCCTCTTCTATAGACGCTGCCAGGGCTGGAATGTGCTCTATGTGCAACTTCATTCTGTTATCTGTTTTACAAGTTCTGGTGGTGTATTTATTAATTACTAATGACTAGGACTCATTTGTATAGCCTCCACAAAGAGAGATAAGCTCTATGACCAGGCAACACATACACAGCTGCATAGTACATTGTGCAACTGAATGTTGAAACCTGTGGCTAGGATTGATCTTGTAAAGCTTCAGTTCTTCCTCTCTGTGTGTATAGTTCCCCCCATCTCTCTCTCTCTCTCTCTCTCTCTCTCTCTCTCTCTCTCTCTCTCCTTTCCTCCATTCTAATTATATTTTGTCTTTACATTATAACTGGTGTTGTGTCTCAGTCATTGAGACTCACACTAAACCCTCCATCGTTGCCACTAGTTACTCATAATCCTGTTTGTGTGTTGTGTGTCCTCCAAAGGAATTACATGTAGGTGACTCCTGTAACAAGAAGTGGGCATAAAAATAACTGTACCCTATCCTTCTTTATCTGTGTGGTCTCCCCCACTGATACTTTTGAGTACAACATTAACATGATCATGTAAATTGATCTAGTTTTTATTATTATGTATTCGGTCCATTAGATAACTCCCGTGTAATCCAACCCTACTATTACTCATTCTCGTACACATACATGTACATGTACATGCACATGATTATTATTATGCGTGTGTTTGTGTGTCATTTTAATATTTCTTAGAACATTGCCTTCTTTTGCATTTGTTGTTGGTGTGACTTGTTTTCGTGTGGGTGTATGAGACTGATGAGTATTATGTTTCATTGTATTATCAGATTATCCTTCACATGTTTATGTCATCATTACGTTAATCATTTTAATCCAATGTTCCTACTATGCTAAGATGTACCATAGATTATACTATGTGTAATGCTATCACATTGAAGAAGAGGTTCTATTGGTTATTGGGTGACTGATTGTATAGTTATATTTGGGGGAGATTACTTGTTCTTGGGCCATGAGAATCTGTAGGATATCTCTCCTGCCTTCATTTGGCCTCAACTTCCTTTGTGGGTTTAGCTATCATGAGACATTTCTATGGAATTATTATATACTAGATATAGGCATCCATATCCTAGCTCCCTTCCCCCCCCCCCTCTCTCTCTCCTTAATATTGTATTTCTGATTGCCTTCCCACACCTTATCATGATAGCCAATGGAATGCATTGTGATTTCATTTGTAATTATAGTTTCCTACTTGTTTTTCTAGTACAAATTATGTTTGCATGCAGGCATATGCCACCTGGTCCAACTATACATATACAGACTAATAATAGTGTAACATGTACATGTATGTACAGTATTATAGTGTATAGACTCTGTATAGTATGTATATGTATGTATATGTATGTATATGGACATATGTGTATGTATTTGTGTGTTTATAGAGGGTTAGAGTTCAATGATGTATGTAGTTACTATGTCTGATGTAGTTGTTTATTTAAGACAATAATATGCTTGGGTGTCAGTAACTAGGCGACCCTGTTACTTTATCACTGATCTAACACCTGTTAAGTATACTGTTGTCTTTAATTATGGGTATTATTACACATTTCTATTATGGGCAAATGTACATATGTATCCCTGTTTATGCGTTATTATGGGCTATAGATATGCGCCTGTTCTGTGTATGGCTCATAGCACATTGTTGCTATCATTTGTCTTGTTGTATACCAACAGTTACATTCATTATTAAGACACAATATTCATTAACGCACTGACAAACACCTTGGTATAACTAGTATAGTCCTATTGTGATGCATGCCTCTGTGTGTATAGTGACTGGTGAGTCTTTTACATGTATTATTATGGTTTGGATGGTTGTTATGTTTATCATTCTCTCTATAGGTGAGGCTGAGGAGTACCAGCTACCTTATTTTGATAGTGTCACGCCAGATCCTTCCTTTGAAGAAATGAAAAAGATTGTTGTTTTTGATAAGAGGAGACCTCCTTTCCCTAACAGATGGAGCCAATCTAAAGTAAATCTCTCTCTCTCTCTCTCTCTCTCTCTCCCTCTCTCTCTCCCTCTCTCTCTCTCTCTCTCTCTCTCTCTCTCTCTCTCTCTCTCTCTCTCTCTCTCTCTCTTTCTTCCCCCCCTCGCCCCCCTCTCTCTCTCTCAGTTTGTATGCTTGTAATTTACCATATTCCCTTCTTGTCCCGTGACCATTTATGGTAGAGGCAGAGAACGAGTGTGAGAATGTGTAGCACTTGTTATCTCAGACGTGATAAATGGCAATAATTATCCTAATGAGATTCTTGGTACTAATTAGAAAGAGAGAGAGAGAGAGTCAATTCATCAAAAAATAGGTACATGTACCAGTCAATATTTTTTAAAAAGACTAATAACATGCAAATCTCATGTTTATTGTGTGTTTTCCTATGTCTTCACTGTACTACAAGCCAAGGAATCTCCTAATTTCCTTCAGATTGTAGTAAATATGTAATTATTTATCTAAACCACAGAGATGCTCTACATGTACATGTGTACATGTATGAATGTGTGTGTGTGACAAAGAGAGTCAGTGAGGGGAGGGGTGTATGCATGGTGGCCACAAATTGTAGTGTTGATTCGTCCTGCATAGTGTCACTGCCTTAAATGTCTCTAAATTGATTAGTGTTTAAGTGGTTTTGTGTCTGATGCTTGTTTTTATTGTGTGGCCCGCAGCCTAGGGAATTGATTGGGTTAAGCAAAAATGGAGCATAATTACTTGGCATTAAATGGCTAACAGTCAACACAGCTTGTCTTTGTGCCTCCCTTTCTCATTTTCATTCTCTTTTACTCCTTAACCCTTTCTTTGTTTTGACTGGTTTCTAGCCCACCCTCTTCTCTCAAGTGCTAGCTGGACTAATAGTTTATGTGTCAGAGGGTACCTTGTAATAATATTATACTAATTGTATTAGTGATAGAGATCCTTTTTCTCTCAGGTATTTGCTGAGTTGTCTCAGCTCATTGAACAGTGCTGGCATCACAATGGAGAAGCAAGGCTGACAGCTTTAAGATTGAAGAAGTCTCTCTCGAACATTCTTCCGGAGAAATCTGCTAAACCGATAGAAATAAATGAACCAAATAATCAGATACAAGTCTCCCTATAACTCACTGTCTTTACTCGCCATCTTTCCTTTCTTGTTTTTTTAAATATCTTTCCCTCTTTTTCTTTCTCCACACATAAGTCCTTCTTTACTAATATTTAATACTTTCATTGCCACATGTCTCTTATATTAGTTGTAAACTTCCCTCCCTTTCCCTCTCTCCCATTCACTCTTCAATCATCACTGATCCTCACTTCATCTTACTTTGTTCACATGACTCTCTCTTTTTGCCTTTTGTTTTGTGTAAACTGTTTATTTTCATCATTGCTCTGTCTCCCCATGTCTCTCACCGACTGACTGTTCCCACATCTCTTCATGTTGTTTGCTTTTTTTTTTTTAATGATACTACTAATTAATATTGATGTTTGTGTTTATGTGATGAAATGTGTACGTGTAGTTGTAATGAATAATAATAATAGTTATGATGATTAATCTTGTTATTATTATTTAAAAAATTTTACATTTTAAATACAAGATGGTGCACAGATATAATGATGCATGGAAAATAAAGTTGCAATGAGACATTGAGATCATTATAAAGTAAATAGTGCATTGTTGTGACAGACATGTACCAACACCATCTTTTAATGTTAATAGTTATTATTATAAAAAGTTTTAAAAATTAAGATACAAGTACATACTACAAACATGACTGTTTTAATTGTTGCTTTGTGCCTAGTCGGCATCCGATGACTTCAATTTCTCCAACCTTAAAAATAAGTCAATAATAACACTGATGCATATGAATATTCTCATGTTGTGTAGCTATGTTGTGTTGTGTAGCCAAAGTCCCTGTACAGGGTCTTTGGGCCGAATTTCGCCAAAAATGGTCAGGAGAGAATTCTCCATTTTTATAATTTTTTCTGATACATATACATGTTTTTATGTTGCGTAGAAAGTTTAAGCTGATTCTGATTAAAATTGGATTTTTTACGAATTTTTTAAGTTACTCCAAAATCGGGCCAAAGCCCCTGTGCTATAGTACAGCGTCAACGGCCAAATTTCACCAAAAATGACAAGTAGGCAATTGTCCATTTTTATAATTTTTTCTGATACATATACATGTTCTTATGTTGCGTAGAAAGTTTGAGCTGATTCCAATTAAAATTGGATTTTTTACGAATTTTTAAAGTTGCTCCAAAATCAGATCATAAAGGTCATGGATAGTGTATGAGCAATACCTTTCCTCAAAGTCCATTGTAGTATCTGTTCGTAGTGGACCACTGGATGGAACTGCCTTTGATAACTACAAGAGATTAATGGATATTTTTAAAATTATAATAATAATAAACTTACTTCATCTACCCATTGCAGTCCTAGCTCATCAAATACCTGCTGCACAACTGCCTCACTTGAGGAGAGAGAAAGAGAGACAAAAAAGCAGAAATTATGAAAAACAAGAGGGCAAAGGGAAACGATTAAGTAGAATGTACAAAACAAATCATTAACACATGATGCATGGTGTAACAATGATTGATTTTGATATGTAACAACATAATCTAGATTGTAATAATTTATAGCAAGAGTAGTAGTTTATTTGTAATACTCTCTCTACCTCTCTTCTTCTTCATCTTCTCCCATCACGTCCTCCATGGTATCGGATATCATTTCCTCCTTCATGTCCATGATTTCAGACTATAGAGTACAATGTAATATTGGACCAAAAGGATCCTTTGATTGTGCCATATATGGCCTCGTTTTGTGTCAATATTGATCAACATGATATGCATGATCAATGTGTCAATGTATGTGAAGCACATTCTATTTGCGTACATGTACACGTACATGCACATCTTCCTGTATGTCATGTGAGGTACATGTCCTGTGATATGATGCAATATGATGTCATGTGATATGATGTAATATGGTGTCATGTGATTGTGTGGATGAGTACACGTGCTTTTAGCAGCTTACTTCTCTTTCAAAGTCCATCATTATTTTTTGAATTTGTGGCAGCTTCATTTGAGCATTCATTCTGTTCATAGCCTATTAACAATAATAAATTATTATTATTAAAGTCATTATAAGTAGAATACAAAAATAACTATTATATGAGAAACAAGAATGATAAACATACTCTTGAGACGCCTTTCATTGATTGTGCCATTGCCATTTGTGACTTCATCGTCTATTAGTAATAATAATAATAATAATAATAATAATAATAATAATAATAATAATAATAATAATAATAATAAATGGTCTTCAGTAACTAGGTTAATTAGTTTGTTTAGTTGGTTCCTTCTTTTTTTGTCTTCATTTTGTTTGTGCTTTTGATAATTGGTTTTGCTGTTTAGGGCTTTCCCCTCCCTCTCTTTGCCTCTGTCTTTCTCCCTCTCACTCTTTTATTGTTGTTGTTATAATAATAATAATAATAGCAATTACTATCATAGTAACCACACCCATTGTCCTGCCCAGCCTTACCGTTAATTTTAAAGTTATTCCTTGAATGTTAGCTCTCATCAAGTGAAACTTCTTAATGTGATTTCTTGTACGAACCAAATCCTTGGCCATTATTTTAACGGCAGCCTGGAGAGAGTTAAGAAGAAAAAAGAATCAGAGTCTAGCCCATAGTAGATCAGGTAGCTCCTTTGTTTCTCTTTTATTACCATTTGTCCAGTCTTTGCTGTTTTCTTAATGTCAGCAATCACCTTTCTTTCCTGTTTCTCAAGATTAGCTCTTTCTCTGTCAATCTCCCTATTTGCAAGATTATGACTTACGATGAGTAAAAGTTTCTAAACCTCATGGTCTTCCTCAGAGCTCTCTGGTTCTGTCTCACGATCTCTTCTGGTGATTTTCCCTTCCATAGATCAGTCAGAGGCATCTTGAAAATTAAATTGAGCCCCACCCACATTTTAGCCACACCCTCTTAGGAAAATCCCATCGCGTTAATTGAGCTGCTTGAAAGACTTTGGTCTGTGCACAGTGATCAGGATAAGCCCTGGGCCTTATCTGGATATTTAGCTAATACAGTGAGATCTGTCTCACATAATAGTTCAAAATATTGATGTTTTTATAATTAAATAGATACTTTCCCCGAAATTCCCCCACCCAAACCAATGGCTCAAAAGTCACCTTCTACCTCTGATTGTACTTCAAGTGACTCCCCTTATGTTCAAGATGCTCAAGAAACAGAAAATCTCGCCCCTCCTAGATCATCCGTGGTATGTAGACTAGTCGTTAAAGATGAAAAGTTTACATTTTATTTATTAACTTCCTTTAGCCACCTAACCCAGCAATTGAAGGCCGGCTCTCTCAATATGACAGCCAGTGCTACTTGAAAGATGCAACTCCTTTCTTGTTAAAGACATCTTATGCAAGCTGCATCGAGATCGAAGGTGTTTATTATATCGGGGTTTGTGGCTGCATATATAAGCTTGGTATTGAGAACAAGTGGAAGTGCATTGATTGCCTTGGTGCACAAAAGTTGTTTGGCCTGGGACGCTTGGAGGAAAAATTAGCTGTGGTGGGAGGCCTTATGCATGACACTGGAAAAGTGACCGGTGATGTCATTTGCTATGACAATGGTAAGCGCTTGGAATCCAAATACCCCGCCATGCCAACTCCTCGTTCAAGTCCAACGATTGCCTCCAGTGATAGATATCTCATTGCTATTGGGGGTAGAAATGATGACGATGCCCTGTTGCCCATTATTGAAATACATGATTCTAAAATACGTCAATGGTACAAGTCCCGCCTGTTCATTCCCAATGAGATTTTAAGCTCACGAATGTCTGCAGTATTAGTTGATGATAGCGATCTCTTTGTTGCTGGCAACTTAGATGAAGAATGTGGAAATAAGTGCATAACCGCATCACTCAATTATATGCTCGGAAGGAAAGGAAACCAATTTTCTCAGTCAGCACTCCAAGTTGGTTTGTCATTGGCGAAGCCAATAGCAGATGGAAAAGCATCGGGTAATTCTGGCTATAATGAAAACAATCCAACTTCTGATTGGAACTATACGGAAAAAACTCCAAAGTTTGGCACCATCGCATTGAGCAATAAGACGATATTTTTGTTCAGTGGTGATAAAGTTTTTACTTATCATCAGTCTACCAATGAGTGGGCCTATAGAGCTAAAATTGACAAGGCAGTTCTGGCTGGTGCAAGTGCTCTTGTATTAAAAGAATCAATTCTGTTCATAGGGGGAAAGATTGATGGAGAGGACCAAAAGACTGTTAAGGAATTTGTAGTTACATAGATCTAATTATTTTTTTGCAATTTTGACACTAAAATATAAAATTAATTATTTTACCCGCCAATTGCCGCGAAACGGGCCATGAATTTCTAGATCTATGAATTACAGCAGTATTGCTGTTTTGATGTTTATCGATGGTGGCCATGGATATCAGTGAATTCATTGCCATTTCTCTCTCTTTGCCGCCCATTCATATCTATTCCTCCCTTCAGAAAGGTGCTTACACTCAAGCCTACTTCTCCTGTCTACTTGTGTCTTTTTCTTTCTTTGATTCAGTCTTAGGGGATGTTGGGTGGCTATTGATAGACTCGTAGCCTGAAAGATTATGGCCTACTTTAAAGCATTTATTTATCTTGTCTTTCTCTTTGGAGGAGCCTTTGGACAAGGTAATTCCTCGCATTGAATGTATAAATCAATTTAATCATAATAATAAATTATAATAATACCCCCTTTATTTTCATTCCTCTCTTTCCTTCTCCCTCTCAGGTACATACGACCTTACATCATGGTCTCTGGATCTTAACGAAGCATCCTTTGACCTTGTTCTTGGCTATGTTGGTTCCATCAGTGTCTCCTCTATTGACTGCAGTAAACTGATATTTGTCAATGAGAGGGCAAACACTCCACTGACTAGCTACAGGCTAACTGGGTGTTCCTCCACGATGGATTTGGGCTCTGGTAGGATACGTTTGCACCTCACCATTGGAGATGCCAATGCTATCAAACTTGATTATAATTTAGCAACTGCAGCATCAAATGCATACATACAGATTGATGCAGGGACTAACTTGGTGGATAGTATTGGTAATACTCTTCGTGCTTATGCTAGCAATGAAGCAGTCCAGGCTTCAGCATTCACACGGGATTCAACCCCTCCAGCTGTATCTATGAATGGATTTCGTAGCTTTGATTTAAACTCTGGTCTATTTACCATCAATTTCACTGAGCCAATGGATGTCAGCTCAATTAGTCTACCAGGCACGCTTTATTTTGAACACTTTGCTTCTATCAGCGAACCTCATGATAGATTTGAAATACAAGAAGGACTATGTCCACCTGCTGTGTGTGTTAATGGTACTATGGTGAGCTTTAGATTGAGTACTGGGGATTTAAACCGTCTCAAGTTAAACCAGCGTGTGTGTACATCAGCTGCTAACTGCTGGCTGACAGTCAATGCTTCATTCATTGATGATATGGCTGGAAATCCGGTAGAAAGACTACCAGACGGTATCAGAACCGATATGAGGTTTGTTGTATCATACACTGACGATACCACGGGACCCCAACTGAGGGACTTCTCTCTTGATATGTCCACCTTTACTCTATCGCTCACTTTCGATGAGCCTGTTTTAGAGTCAAGCATCAATATCAGTGGTATCACATTACAAGGGGCAGCTAATGTATTGACCAGTGATACTCATCTCTATTACACTCTTACAGGGGGTGAGACCTCTCTCTCTGATACTGCCATTGTGGTTAATATCTCACTCTCAAGTGAGGACTCAATTCAGTTACAGTCCAGAGCCAATCTTGCCACATCACTCAGTAACACTTACTTATCACTGTCCTCATACACAGTGAGGGATTTATCTTATTTATCCAACCCTGTCCAAGGGATTAGCATGGCCTCTGCTAAAGCAGCTAGTGCATTTCAGCCCGACATTGCTCCACCTCGTATGCTCTCATTTGACCTAGACTTGGATTCTAATAGTCTAACATTAACATTCTCTGAAGCAGTTTTACTATCGTCCATAGATCCAACTCATCTGACTCTTCACTCCTCTCCTTCCAATGAGGTACATCACACATTGACCGGTGGAGAGATAAGGATCAACACAGTCCTTGATGCATCATCTGTCATTATTATTGACCTAAATAATGATGATGTAACTTACCTTGAAATGACTAGCGGTATAGCTAGTAACGTCAGTGACACATATCTAACATCACTAACTGGTGCAGCTAATGATACCAGTAACGTATCAAGCAGTCCTCTCTCTATATCAGATGCTATACAAGTGTCCCTCTTCACTCCTGATACACAAGCACCAAGGATCCATGAGTTCAGCTTGGACTTAAATGAAGGTGTCCTGTCACTTACTTTTACTGATACAGTATCATCTGCAACATTTGATGTAACTTCCATTACTTTACAAAACGGTCTATCAAGAGAGCCTCTTCAATGGCATACCTTGAGTACCTCAAACACTTCAAGCAGTGATGGTTTTGTAATAGATGTTCTCTTAAGCGACGAGGACTTGAACAGAATCAAACAAATCAGGTCTCTCTGTACGTCTATCAGTGACACTTACCTCACTGTGGCTGCTACATTGGTTGATGATCCTTATGGTGTTGATGTCATTGCAGTTACTGATGGTAAAGCAATACAAGCCACTGTTTACACTGCTGATGACAGTTCACCTAGTCTACTCTATTGGACTTTTGATACAACTAATGATCAAATCATTCTCACATTCTCTGAGACTATTGACATCAAGACGCTACAAGTAACAAACATAATGCTACTAAATGGCGTTGGTTATTCTTATACTCTGACTGGATCAAACGGACTCATACCCACAGATGCTTCAGATACAGTAGCTATTCAATTGCTAGCTGAGGATATTAACATTATAAAAGCTAATGATGCCATTGGTACATCAAGAGCTGATTCCTATTTATCCATCACTGGTGACACTGTTCTTGATATGTCCACGAATAATGTACTGCCTATTTCAGTTGGTACTCCTCTCCAAGTGACCACGTACATCAGTGATAATGCTAGACCTAGTCTGAGTAGCTTTTCCCTTGATATGGATCAAGGGACTATGAATCTAACCTTCTCTGAGACGATAGAAGGTTCAAGCATTAACATAACATCATTAAGATTGGTTAACAGTGCTAGTGATTATACTGCTCATCACGATATAGTAACTAGCACTACCAGTACTTATGATAGCCCCGTTGTGACCATCAGTCTATCTCTGTCTGTACTGAATGGTATTAAAGCTATTGAGAACTTGGCATCATCAGCCAGTGACACATACGTACTGATGGATAGTAGCTTTGTAACAGATAAGAGAAACAACACTGTAATACCGATACACTCAGACTCAGCTTTATCAGTAGGTACTGGCTATACTCGTGACACTACCAGTCCAGTACTTAATAGTTTCACACTTAATCTCACTTCCGAGGAGCTCACTCTTTATTTCAGTGAAACTGTTCGTGTGTCATCATTCGATGCGACGCAGTTAAAACTCAAAAACCTTCCGGCTGATTCCGGCCTCACTATTCCTCTCACTGGAGGTGATGGGCCTGTTGTTAATAGCAACGTGTACACACTCGCATTAAAGGATGATGACTTGAATGAAATTAAGTACCACACTAATATCGGTACTGTTATTGCTAACACATTCCTCTCAATAACCTCCAGTACAGTAAGAGACACAGCTGGTAATAATGTCATTGAGAGACCACAGTCTAATGGCCTAAGGGCAACTCGAGTAACGCCTGATTCCATACAACCTAATTTAATCAGAGCAAACTTAGATCTAAACGAGAGACTAGTGATGCTCACTTTTGACGAAACAGTCAATGTTCCTGACTTTGTCATCACAGGGATTTCATTTCAGGATCACGTCTCAATGCCCTCTCAAACTGTCCAACTCTCATCAGTGAGTAGAGTCACAACATCAACTAGTGGTACTAGCCTTACCATAGACCTTGGAAGTGCTGATTTCAATGCACTTACTGGCATGTTCCCACTAGCATCATCAGAAGAGACATCATTTGTCACAATATCAAGTGGCACTGTCAGAGATATGAATAATAATCCTAATGTAGTGATAGAGCCCACTGGAGCTCTACCTGTCTTTAATCACACTCAAGACATCACTCGTCCAACACTGATCAGTTTTGATCTGGACATGGACTCAACTACCCTCACCATCACCTTCTCGGAGAGTGTCAATATCACTTCATTTCAGCCCTCACAGCTAACAATACAGGACTCTCCCTCTTCACCCACTCACCTCTTACCACTGACTGGAGGTATAGGGTCTCTACTATCCACTACAACTGTACAGCTAGTCTTAAGTGAAGAAGACTCTAACAAGTTGAAGGCAAACACTGAGCTTGCCTCCCTAGCATCTAATACCTACCTCAGCCTCACATCAAATGCAGTGAGGGACATGAACAATAATAACGTAATACCTGTACCAATGAGCAGTGCAGTATTAGTCAATACTTATACTTCTGATGGAACTGGTCCTGTTATTAGGAGCTTTGACCTTGATTTCAATACTGGGCTACTGACACTCAGTTTTGATGAGACGGTTAACACGGGCTCCTTAACTCCATCTAGACTGAGACTCCAGCAAACCAGTCAAAGCTCTTCTCCATCTCTCTTGCTCTCTATGTCTTCTTCTCTCGATTCGATGCCCCTCACTTATTCTCGTGTTCAAATCCAAGCCGAGGACTTTAACGAGTTGAAGAGATTACGTATATGTGTATATGAGAGCTCGTGTTACCTTTCCATCCCCACGTCAGATTTACTCCGAGACATGAGTGATAATGGTAATCAGGTCATTGATTCCAACACTCCGTTAGCAGTATCAGCTTATAAAGCTGACATCACCAGCCCTAGTGTTGTGACATTCAATGAGTTTGATTTGAATCAAGGATCGTTCACTCTCTCGTTTTCTGAGACTGTTAATTCAACTAGTGTACGTTCGGATGCTTTGGAGTTTCATGGTGGCTTTGTAAACTCGACTCATTTCTTTGTTCCCTCGGCAGACTCCCTATCAGTCACTGAGGATAGCTATCGACTAACGTTCACTCTTGATTCATCTGATCTGAACGTGTTAAAACTTGATACTGATCTGTGCACCGACTCTTACAATTGCTGGCTCCGCCTTTCCTCTTCCTTTCTCTCCGACATTAACGATAATGCCATCATCCCCATAGTAACCGGTACCATGGCAGCTCACCACACCCCCACTTCATTCCTCCCTGACATCACATCTCCTAATCTTCTCTCCTTCACAATGGATCTTGACAACGGAGAAATGACTTTCACTTTCGACGAAGTGATCCGTGAGAACTCCTTCACTCCGCAGAATTTTACATTTCAAAATGACCTCAATGGTAGCATATTTTTAAGCCTGTATGATTACGGTAGCTATACTCGTAGCAGTGATGGTCTCTCTCTACAGTGGAATATGACCATACCTGATCTGAACTTAATCAAAGCAACCAATGATTTATTTACTGAGCCTGAGGACTCTTATTTATCATTAACTAATGTCATTGAAGATGTTTCTGGAGTTGCTATCAGTCACAGAATAGATGGAGTTAGCTCGTTAATGATCTCTACACTATTACCTGACATTACAAGACCAAGGCTCTCCTCATTCCTTTCTTTTAATTTCAACAATGGCTCATTGA